GCGAAAGCCCCACTCAATGTTTCGTTGAGTGGGGCTTTCGCAAGAGACGTTCCCGCTTCTGAGCAGCCGTCAGCCGCTTTCCAAGACCGTGTTTTCCTTCTAGCCTGCTCCCTTCCCTTGTTTCTTATTCTCAGCACTTGAAATGAAAATTGCCTTGGCTTTTCCTGTCTCAGTCTCAGTCGCAGACGAGATAAAGGAATAACCCAGATGCTTTCTTCCGTGTGCCAGGAGGGGCAATGGAGGTTCTGAAAAGATAACTAGGCCGTGACTTTCCACCAAATGGTCCACCAAACCAAGGGAGACTTTGATAGCAGCTTAAAGATGAACAGCTCCGTCTCCAAGTGAGCTTTCGTAGATACAGGAGTCAGATCCCAGTGACGGGTGTTGAAGAGTTTGTGAGCGTGTGCGTGCTCCCAAACACGCTGACCCCCGAGAACCTCCGCTTGATGGGCCTCCTCTGACCTGCAAAGCTGAGATCTTGCATATTGCAGCAAGCCAAGATCAAACAGGAGTTCCCCCTCTGCTTCCGTAGATGTAGTTCAATAAAATGTAGCCCACAGATGGAGAGAAGTCATGGAATAAAATCTCTTTGCTTGCATTCCAGATTGGGTTGATAACTACCTGGATCTCAACTGTTGTTACAATGAGTTCTGTAGCCCAGTTATGGGACGATGAATGGGATATGGTGGTCATATCATTGCAAGTAAGTGTTTTCACTGAACTGCCCCCTCCCCTAAAAATTGTAGAGCCAAACAGTATGTTCTTTTGCCCTAAATTTGGTCCTGTGCAGTTAAGTGATTGTATGACTGTACCGAGCCTTAGAAATCAGCTTTCTCCTGATCTTTGATATGGCTCTCTTTTATATTCTTTCTTTCCCCTCTCTCATTGTGTCGCTGGTGGGTTTTTAATCCTTTGCACCGGGTTTGTTTGAAATTGATTTTTCTGCGTAAAGCTGCTGAGAGTCGTTTGGATTGCGGCAGCATGGAAATACAGGTAGTTCTCGCTTAATGACGGTTCGAAGTTATGACGGCCTCAGAAAGGGTGTTTTACGGTCTGTAAAGTACTTCTGGCTGTCATAAAATGTTGTGCCACCCCCCTTCCCCCTGCAATCACGTGGTTGCATTTTGGGCACTTGGCAACCAACTTCCATTTACGATTGGTTGCCAAGGGGCCTGCTATCATGTGATCCAGAAAGTCAATGGGGAAGCCAGCAGGGAAGACTGCAAGCAGAGGGGACGGAGAGGAGCTGAAATCCTTCTGTAGGCTGCAGGAATGGAGCTGAAATCTTCAGGATTTGAGCTCCGTTTCTGCAGCCGCCTGCCAAAGGATTTCCCCTCCGTGCATGGAGGGGAGGGAAACCCTTCAGCGGGCTGCAGGAACATTTGAGAGCGAAAGGGCTGCCTGCCAGGAGGATTTCAGCTCTGTGCGGAGCTGAAATCCTTCAGCAGCAGCACTTCTGCTCCATCCACTTAACAACCCAGGAGATCACTTAACAAC